CAGCACTTGCACTTTTTAAACACCGGGCGCCCGTCCCCTGCGCTGCGTTACAGGGACTAACCTGTTCTATCAGGCATGTCTGGTGCAGCAGGCTCGCAATCCTCCAGCTCTCTGGCATCAATTGAAAGCGCATCCAAACCTTCGCTGAGCGAGTCCACGGACTCCGTGTCATGGGCGCAGCCGTTGACATGGAAACCGTTAATTCCACCTTTCTCCGAGTTTGCCGACTGCTCCTCTTCAGTGGACACCAATTTACTGGGGTCTGGGAGGCCAGGGCTCGATTCAGCTTGCGGTTTCGGTTTGGTCTTCTTCTTCTTGTTCTAAGGATTAGGTATCCACACACCACAAAGGGGGAGAGAAAAAAAAAAACCACATTAAGCTTAATTCCTAAAGGGAAAATTAAGCTTCTGCTTACTGGCTGAAAGTAGCTGAATTAAACGCTTCTTCAGCCAGCCTGGCTGCTGATCCTATTAACAGTAGGAGGGATTTGGTCAACAATGAGGACAGATATAGAGGCATTAATACGTTATCCTCCCCGCTGGCGTGCCAGCAAGAGGGAGGCACTGGTTATCAGATGAAGGCTGCGTAACTGCGGGGCAACAAGCAGAGGTTTGTGGCCATAACCCACGGCACCAGCTGGGTGGCTTTTGGGGGTGCTCGCTGCCGGGGTGCTCTGCAAGACCTTGCTCTGCTAAAACTTCCCACAGTTCCCAACATCGGGCTATTCAGTCACATTCCCCCCTCCCCTCCCCTTTTCATGCTGGTGCTTTTCAGGTATTCAGAGTAGCCCTTTTGAATAATTATGATTTTATCCTTGTCCTGGTGGATTTAGACATTATAATATCAAGTACTGAAACTTGCAAATCTTTACTTAACCCTTTCACAGAGGTCTGAGCGAAGAACCAGGCCAAACACTACGTGACAAAGAAATATATTTCCACAGAGCTCAGCATTAAATGCAACTGCTCGGCTCCAAAGGTTACCGATGAAAAATGGAACGGCACGACTATCTGAACAGTGAATTACAGAGCTCTGTCGAAATAAATGGACCCGATAAAGATTTACTTCAGTGTGGGGCTGCGTGTGCGGAGGAGGGGTCCTGTAGAGGGTCAGCAGAACGAAGGCGACCGTAAGGGCCAGGAAGTCCAGACCCCTTTTTTCAGGTGCTACCTTTGGCACAATGTGTCCGACAACTAAATTAAATGCAAACGTGGCGAGAAGATGATGGTTACAACTTGCACTGAAGTAAATCATGGCCCTGAACAGCGAGGGGCCTGGTAACCCAGGGATCATCTCCATGTGGCAGTTCTGCTAACAGCAATAGACACGTTTGCTCCTTGGTTTCTTTTCCCACAAGGAATGCCTGCTGTTCTCTGTGGTCTGAACCCTCAAATTAAGAAGATAAATGCCTTAGCGAAGCGTATTTCAGAAGTGTTACCTTTTTTTTGCCTGTTACAGTCCATTCTTTCAGTACTTCACTGGCATTACCTGAAACAAAATGCAGTAATGAGCAGCGGACAAGGCACCCGCTCCGGTTCTTTCCCAGTCACGTGGAAGCGCCTCCATGCCTGGAGCCGGCTCTAATGCTTCCTAATGCTAAGTTTCAATTCTCTTGGTTGATGTAAATAGAAGAATTGGGTTTGGTTTTGCTTTGGGAACACACTGCTGAACGGGACTACTCCCTTACGCTACAGCACCAGCTCTTTTCAGGGGAAAAAAATAAAATAAAATAAAAAAAAAAAAAATCTTCTCTTTGGCACTGTGGTACTAAAGGTTTAGGTGCTGGGAACCCTGCTGGAACATGTTGTGAACTCAAAGGTTGCGTGCAGGTCAGATATCCGCCGGCCTTCCCTCCCCACAGACGCCGGCTGTCGGGCAGCCCACGGTCTGAGGAATAGCTGTCATACCTTCCGCGGGCCAGAGGCAAAGCGCGGTTGTCAGCGATGGCCAGCACGGCAGTAAGAGCTGCGAAGTGACAGGCACTGTCACCGGCAACAGCCTGGTTTTCCCAAGGTCAGAAAATCCATCTAACGCAGCACACCAGCCGGGCCCAAGAGAAGATTTGCGAGCCAGGTTTCAAAGTACAAACAGCAGCTATCGAAGCTGGGGACATCCCCATTTTGTACACACGCACAAGTTTCTGTGAGTGAGCATCAACCCGCCTTTACCTAAGGAGCTATCAAATGCTTGTCTCTGCCTTGACCCCTTGTTGAGCAAACACCAACTAAAAATTGGGAAGGGAATCATCCGTGAGTTATCTTTGTGGGCAGAGTCTGCCCGGATGCACGGAGAAGCTACGTGAGCTGCCTGGTGAGCTTCCTGCACGCAGCCCTCGTGGCACAGAGGCTACTGCTGCTTCCGACAGAGGCCCACACACACGGCACGCGCGAGTGACGAAGCCGCACACCCCGCCCGGCACCCAGTAGCCCTTACCTTCCATGAAGGCTTGCACCGTTTTGTCCACGCAGTTGTCAAAATGCTGCAGGACGAGGACAATCTCGTTGTTGCTCCTGTTGGGGACTATTGCACGCACCGCGCTGATCTGGAGGGGAGGAAACGGGGTGAGACGTAAATGGTTTGCTTCATCCCACACGGAGCCTACAGCAACCCTCCCGCCAGCAGCCTGGAAAACCATAACCGATGGCTTCCTTATAAAACTTTAATGCGCCAGGACAATTTAGCCTGAATAAAATTTTGCTTTTGACAGAGCTGCGGTTCGCTCCCAGACAGAAAGATATTTCATCTCGGAGAGGAGATGAAGACACGGCACTCGGGAGCTCTTCCGCGGCACGTGGTGAGTTGAAGTCTCAGAAGACGCATTTACCTTCTCCTTCATGTTTTCAAAGGTTCCTCCCTGGGCCATCACAGTATTGGACTGCACATCAAAAATAAACCCAGACGGATCTGCAAAGAGAAAGGAGGGGGAAGCTCTCTTCAGAACAACAGGCACCGGGAGACATTTAGAAAGACACGAAGCAAGAGGTCAGCTCCGAGCTGTTACTTTGCTAAGGAGAAAATTGAAATCCTACAAACGTATGGCGTTCGCTGGCAAGTTCCGTACCATGGTTAGCAGAGGATTTTTACCTGCGTGGGAGTAAAACGTGTGCTATTCCAGCCTCGTGTAAGGACCAGATTAGCCCAGGTAAGCCCAGCTGCATCGGGGTTGCCACGGAACTCAAGCAGCTGATTCACTCCTCAGCTCTGGGTCAGTTTAAACCAACCATGCATGGATCAAAACCCCAAGCCAAAAAAAAAAAACCCAAAAAAACCCACCCCACAAGCCTCAAGAGGGCTGGTGTGAAGGAGACAACTGCAGAAGTGGACCAGACCAGACCAGTACTGCTCCTCCATTTCCATATTAATCTTCTACTGAGCCCAGCAATGAAGAGTTAACAGAAGCGCTAGAGCCTTCCAGCAGTGTGGTTACCAATTTCCTCCACCTGGAGATACAAATGGCAAGCAGACTGATAAATGGGCTTGAACATCCAGCAGCTTGCGTTCCCTGCCAGCTATAATCTCCAAGGTAATGCTTAAATGTTCCAAAAGAGACCCATAATCGAGGCAGCCATCACCAACAGGTTTGCTCCCTGCCAGCGAGCAAAGGTCACATAAATCTGCAGGCCCTGCCGTTTCACCGGGAGACCCTTACGAGTGCATGGTATCACAAATTCGCGCTCAATTTTCCTGCCAAAGGTCTGAGCAGGCCGAATTTTAGGTTTGCTACAGAGAAAGGGGTGGGGGTGTTCACAGAGGTGCTTCGCTGCGCCCAGGACATACTTCAAGGCGGTCTTTTAGCCGCATTTGGTCTCGGGAAGAACACGTGTCCCCAGGCAGGGGCCGAGGCAGGACCCTGGAGGCTTTAAGCGCTCCTCTTCATCGCCAACCCCCGCCCAGGGAGCTCGCACGCACGGGGCCACGGGCGTTTGCCCTAGGAGGGCCTTCGCTTGCATGTGCTTCGACACCTCCAGCCCCGCAGAGTCGGGGATGTTCGAGGCCATCGGTTCTTCCGCAAAGCTTCTCAGGGGGGTTTCTACAGCCGCCGCCAGCCGGTGGCTTCGGGGGACGGGACGCTTTCGGCAGGCCAGGGCGCTCTGTGGGGATGCTCGCCCGGTCCCTGCCCTTTCTGCTTTAGCTCAGCTGATATTCCGAGCTGCTGATTCATGTTCTTTCCCTCACCTCCTCTAAATAACTCGTACGCGATTTTGAGACACACCATTGACTTCCGCGGTTCCCAGACATTGATGTAGCATTTAAACTGAGATGCCTCCAAATACGGTGACAGAATTGTGAACATGATGGAAAGGTCAGCCTCTTATTAAGGCTACAGATGAACGGTTAAATTCTTCCTCGCGCCGTCCTCACCCGTTTCAGCCCCATGAGCGAGATTTGCCCAAGTTTCCCAAGCTCACAGAAGTTCATGTTACCAACTTTCTAGTCCTTAATCTTGTAAATGGCTTTCAGACTCCCATCGCCGAATGAGAATTAGCAATCTTTTTTCAAAGTCTTCATTGCAGAGCAGCCACCAAGGACCCAGGTGCCAGGAAAGATGAAGTTCAGCTCCCCCATGCAGCACATTTTCAGCTACTCAATCCCATCCCTTTCCCACATCTCCATTCGTGCTCGGCCTTACAGGGGACTGGGCCTGTCGGCACCTTGCTCCGAGCCGCTCCTCCAGCTTCCAGTCGCTGCGCTACGGCCCAAAGCCCTCCTGGTGTTAAAGTGTTTATCATGCAAAAATTATGCAACGGAGACTACGCCGTATCCATTCGATATCGCCCTTGAGCGCTCTCAAGCATCATTAAAAGGGCTGCTGGCACTCGGGTCTCTTGTGACAGTGGGCATTTGCAAGAAGGGACAGAATTTAAAATGCTTGCGCCCGCACGGACAGAAGTCTGGCGGCCACCAGCGACTCCACGACTTTGGAATTAACATCCTAGTGGGAAAGGAAAGCTCCTTCCCAAAGCCGGGGCTCAGACTGTGCATGTCATGTCTGACATGACGGGCCCGTCAGACGCTCAGCCCGCTCTCCCTTGCATTCAAACACGCACCGTGCAGCGCTGCCCTGTTGATTCGATGTGATAAACCCCGGAGACGACGCCAACGGCCTTAACGGCTTCTCTGTTCATAACCGCGTCCTCCAGAAGAACGGGGTGGTAAGAAATCATTCATCCCAAACCATTCACTTCTGTGTTTCCGAGCTATTCACTGGACTAGCCCCGCAGGATCTCTTAAACAGAAACACTAACGAGGCCGGGAAGAACCCACCCTACCAAATACCAACCCACTCCTCCCGTAACTCCTCTCATTAGTCCTTTCAGTAGGGAACACGTGCAAGAATTAAAACTCCAGACCTAACAAAAGCCTGCTGGGCTTCCTGGGACACACGAAATAAAACAGCTTTGTACCCGACACCTCGAGGGCGTCACAACAGGGGCCACCATTTCCCCCTTGAGCCGAGCCCTGCCTGACTTTTGAGCTGCTGCAGGCAACCGTTTCATCAGGAGAGACAGAGAAGGAATAAAAGCACCGGCCCGCCAGCCATCCAGGCTTCGTCCCCACCAGTGTCCCGGAGCGCACTTCAGGGACGCGTACAGGGAGATCACACGTACGCATTTAGCGCCTCCGAACCCACCCAGCACCTCATCCCCCCCACGCCCGCGTGCCAGCTCATGGAAGGTTTGCACAGTAAAACAGCGTCTTTAAAAATAAAATAAATCATGCCTCAAACGCCAGGTTCACCCTTGTGCCCCAGCCAGGACACTCGCAGGCGGGCGGCTTGGGGGAACCGGACAGCGTGTACACTTAAAGCTCAGCGAAATCAGGATTCAGTTAAACCGTGAAACATTTATAGAGTCGGTGGCTTTTCAGGTCAATGGCAACCGCGCCGGCTCTCCCAGGGATCGGGCGGGAGACCTGGGCTAATGCGAAATAAAACGCTCTTAAAGAAACGGCACCGCGCTGCTCGCTCAGAGCGTCTCCAATTTGCTCTAATTACCAACATCGTCAGCAGCCCGGGCGCTGGGAGAACCGGGCGATGGCTGCGCCCAGGACTGCAGAGGTGATGGGGCAGGAATTAATGCGTCTTCCCAGGACGGAGCAAAGAAGCCAGGATATCGTTATTCTGCCAGTCTGCGCTTGCGGTCACATCGAAGTTCCCACAAATACGGGAGGGGGGGGGGAATAATGAGGATTTCCACCAAAGTGTGGGAGCTTTCGGGGCGCCCCAGGCACCAGGCGTGGCGCTGGAGGCAAACAGGCCGCCGCGGGCTGCGTTTCGCGTCTCACGCGACGCGTTTTTCCTTACAAATTATATCAATGCACCCGCTGGTGGGTTGGTTTTTTTTTTTCTTGTAAGAACAGTCCTGGCTAACAGGCAGCAGAGGTACCAACGCTAAGCTCTCTCCCCACAAATTAGAGAGAAGCGAGGGCTAAACTGGGCTTCGAATCGATATTCCTGGGTTTGCTGCTGCCGAGACAACATTTCATTGAATTTTCATCAGGAAAATACACAGAAACGCCAACTTTCTCCATGATCCGAGGGGGAAGAGCATCGCTACCACGCACCACCCCAAGCCCTCCCCTTCCCCAAAATACTCTGGGGGGATTTGAGGGGGGTCTGTTGGGTGATCAAGCCATCCTCATTCGGTTTCTGTCCCCGCTTGCCACCCGGGCGCATTCCCAGGTGAGCGAATTCCAAGCTTCCAGATGCATTGCCCCCCCCCAGCCGATCAGACGCTTCCATGATCATTCGATCCCAGCAACGCAGGCCACCTTCCCAACATACGGCCATACTCATTTAAGGTCTTGGAAGAGTGGGGGGGGGAAGAAATTAAATATGGAATAAAAATGAACTTGCAAATCAACTAAAAGATGCCCAAAGTTACGCTGCTAAAACCAGGTACTACCTCTGCCCGACCCAAAAAGCGGGTATTTTTTGCCACGAAGGCAAAGGGACTCGTACGGACGCTGCCACTTCCCCTCGGGCGGACGAGCGGGGAAGTGAGGCAATCGGCTTTCAGTGGAGCGAAGCCCAACGGAGCCGTTAAGGTAATTCAGACTGCTGGACACCGTCTTCCCCCTCCCGTCTAATTTCCATTTACACATAAAAAAAAATAATAATTAAATTAAATTAAACCTGCGCGCTTCCAAGAGCGCCACGCTCGGCGGCGACGCAGCTGAAGCTCCCGTGAATTCCTGACATCACCCGCGGCCCCGTAGCGCACCCGAGCTCAGGCGCGAGCCAGGATCCGATTTATCGGGTTGCAGAACGCACGCCCGGCCTTCGCCTTTCTGCATTCCCAACACAACTCACAGCACGCGCTGCCCTGCAGCGTAACTCCGCAATCTCCCGGTTTGCCGATTCGGCCAGAAGTTATCCGGATGCAGACCGAGCAAAGAGCTTGCAACCACCCCAATAGCAAAACCCGGGTTTCCGCGGAGCCGTATCCCCTCTGTTAATCAAAGCATGAGCTTAAAATGAATTTTCTCCCCCGTTTGGGGTTTTTGTCAAGGCTTCACACCGCTCCAGCCGGACCCAGTGACCGCTGCCAGAGACCTTTTGCCTTTACCAAATTCACGCAGGAGAGTTTTCCATCAATTCAAATGGCTCCTTCCCGTATCCAGATGAGCAGGAACCCGAGTGCTCTTTTATTCAGGAACCTGGCATGCCTAAAACCGTGGCTGATGTCCAATGGAAGTGAGATTTATGTGATTGCTTTGTATCTTGGGGTCACCAGTCATTCCTGAGCCTGGTGGCTGCTTTCACTCCAATCAATTAATTGCGTCGGAAGGGGGGATGAGAGGGAGTGCGTGCACATGCTTCGTGTTGGGGGAAAAAAAAACAGAAGCACCAAGAATCCATGATCACTTCAGACAGTAGCAAACCAACAAACCTGCTAGGCTCTGGGGAAGGATTTATTCAGAGATCTGGCATCACCGAGGCTGCCTTTCCTTGGAAATTCTAAATTACCCCTTACAGAATACACTGAAGCTGAAACAAGCCACCCAGCAGAACCCAGACACACGTGGACACGCACACTGGGATCCTGAATGGGGACAACTGCGTGACTGGTTCAGAGGCCAAGCGGTTTTCTCCTCAGCACAGACCTTTGGAGTAAGGAGTTATTTACAGGCACTAATGTTCAGGAGTAGCACGTGATTCTGTGCCCACACTTTGCATATACATTTTTGCAACACTTAAAAATACCCTTCCGAGTAGCTCAGATGTTTGCTCTGTTCTGCAGCCCTTGGAAGTACAAACAGGTGGGCTTCTGATTCGGTTTCAGAACTGCTGTGTTATCAAAAATAGCTCCATCTCGCTCCCTCCCTCTCGATGTGTCACACCAGCCCTTTGTTACGCTGCACAAGGGGCTTTGTTTTGCCTCCAGGAAGAAAGAGGAACTGGAAAGACGTTCCTTACCTGGCCAAGGTACACTCCTTTACCGAGGACTGGAAAATATTTGCAGACTACATTAACATTCTAGAGCAGCAGCAAAGTAGTAATTGAAAATTCAATCACAGTCCAAACAGGACAGGGCACAGCCAGAAGAGTCTGCAGCTTTAACTCTCACCTTCCCTTACGTCCACATTGCCACCGCAGCGCGGACCGGAGA